TCCAATCTAAATTCCAGTCCAGATGGACTATACAAAATGGGCCGTTGTATTTTTGGCCCAATACTCCTCCAGAGTTCTGCGAAAACTCCCTCCAAAACGGTTCCGTTTTATAAGCATCTTTGACTCTAGTCGGCGATATCTCCTTTTTATTTTCCTTTGCTCGTCTCTTATCTGTAGCCCCAAAGAATCAGCCGAATTGCTCCGTCGCCTAAAACCCTAATTCTCTCCGCCTCATAGCTTTCGCGATTCAACAAACAGAGAATTCGCTTGAGCTTTAGCTGTATCGAAATCATTCAATCATGGCGACTCAAACACCAAATCTAGAGTGTCGGATGTACGAGGCGAAGTATCCAGAGGTGGATATGGCGGTGATGATTCAGGTCAAGAACATCGCCGATATGGGAGCTTATGTTTCACTTCTCGAGTACAACAATATTGAAGGCATGATCCTCTTCTCTGAGCTCTCTCGACGTCGGATCCGAAGTGTGAGCAGTTTGATTAAGGTCGGAAGAATTGAGCCTGTTATGGTTCTTCGTGTGGACAAAGAGAAAGGTTACATTGATCTGAGCAAACGTAGGGTTAGCGAGGAAGATATTCAGACTTGTGAAGAGAGGTATAACAAGAGCAAGCTTGTTCATTCTATCATGCGCCATGTTGCAGAGACTTTGTCCATTGATTTGGAGGTAAAAGCTCCGAAATTCGTTGAACTGGAAGTTGAGTTTAGGGATTGTCCATTGGAATTGGTTTTTGACGATTATTGTTTATGGGAATTCTTGGTTTGCTGGTTAGAGACATTTCGTTGAAGATGATACACTTTAAACTTAGAATCGTATCTAGGAATGCTCAAATCGTAAGTTAGAATCATTCATATGAAATGCGTAATTTGTTGATTATGCAAATTCTGCATCTTTGTGTGGCCATACGAGTTAGGGACTAATCTCTTTGTATTATCCTCTTGTTTTGGGCAATGCCGAGACTTGAAACTGTTTAGTGAGTAATACGAGTAGGAGACTTATCTCTCCGTGTTGGTTTTCTCCTATATGTTGTGTGATTATATTCTCTTAATATAGGTGCTTATATAGCTTACTGCTGTAATTTTAGATTATAAATTGATTTTTCGTATCGCAGGAGTTGTACGTGCACATTGGTTGGCCTTTGTATCGAAAACATGGTCACGCTTTTGAGGTAAGATTATGTGAACTGAGTTCAATTGTTTTCCCGTAGATATTTATGTCTCAAATACTTCTTTTTTTTTTTTTGTTCAGGCCTTCAAGATCTTAGTAACTGATCCTGATTCTGTGTTGAGTTCCCTCACACGTGAGATCAAAGAAGTTGGGCCTGATGGACAGGAGGTATAGTTTGTTCTCTGATTTTGGATTTAGTTGTTAGAACAAACTTCATTGGTGCTAATATTACAAGTTTTTCTGTTTGTAGGTGACTAAGGTTGTACCTGCTGTTACGGAAGAAGTGAAAGATGCACTTGTGAAGAACATTAGGAGGAGAATGACACCACAGCCAATGAAAATCCGTGCTGATATCGAATTGAAATGTTTTCAGTTTGACGGAGTTGTTCA